ACATAGAATAGAAAATCCCTTTATTGTTCCACAATGGGGAAATGTGGGACAATACAGTATAAAAAAACAACAAATTTTTTGTTTGCAACAATAATGCAACAAAATTCACTCCATACTAATAACCAAATATATTTAGAATATAAAATCTAAAATTTTGTGCAATAGAGAGAACAAATGTGTAACTAAAAGGGGTCTGTTAGATGTGCATAATCTTAAACACACCTTTCCTGCTGTAAAATACGGAGATGGTGCCTTTATGCTCGGGGGTGCTTTGTCTTTTTTTTGCAGCCATGTTATCAAAGCTGCTCAAAGTTGATTTCAAGAGCGAAGGAGAAACATAGAGGTGAATGCTGGGAGAAAATCCTTGCTGGTCAGAGAGCTCAGAAGTTCTCCCTCCAATCTGACGGAATTACATCTGCCTTGCAAAGAAGAAGAGACAAATTTTTCAGTCGATTAGCAGTTTATTATTACAGCAAAGGTGGTTCTTCAAAGATTCATGGCAACTAATATAAATTCTCACCTATTTGATTTTTATCTGTTAAAATGATTGCAAATCATGTCCTATTTTTATCCCGCCCACAAATATGAACGACTCTGTGTTTGTCTATGACATAAAATCCCAATAGAATATCCCGATAGTTAAAAAGTGAGAATTTTAATTGTAATGCGAGGATTTAACAACTCAAAGGGGTCTGGATACTTTAAAAAAGCCTCTTTTACTTTATACTAAGAATCTTTTTATATATAATAAACATATTCTAGATGGCGAAAAAAACAAAAATTCTGATTTGACGGATTTTAGTGAGAAACGGGTTGATTGCATGCTTTGAGATCATGTGAGTAGTCATCCCATGATCAGAAAATTGTTAAGTAGCAAAGCAGGGATTCTCCCCTCCCAGCAAAACCAAGACAGTAATGTTCATTTATCACTAGCCTTAAGCGGGACCTGTGGGTTTGACGCCTGATCGGCTTTGTGCCTTTCTGTTGCACAAAATCTTAATTTTATGTGCAGTGCAATGCTTGTAGGTTGGCCTGATACACATGTGCTTATATATCACAGATAGTCAGCATCAAACAGGCTTCTCTTTATTTTAAAATCATAAAAAAAAAAAAATAATACTTAACTTATGCTGGCAAAAGATTTTTTATTTTTTATTTTACCTCACTTAACTTTTTATATTACAATGAAGATTGTTACCTCTTGTTTCAGTTCTGTTTTGAAATCTGAATCCCCTCCTGAATTTACTTTTTTTTTTTACTTTGTTAAAAGCTGACTGTTTATATTAAATATTTAATTCTTAAACCCAATCTTGACATTTAGTATCCAGTTAAACGCGTTTTAAACATAAGCCGGCTGCTGCAGTTCTGCTGTCAAACCTTTTTCTCTGTGATTCTCCAACTTCCCACCTTTTCTGCCTTTTTATTTATTTATTTTTATTTTTTTCTTCCCGTGTTAACTGTGTCGCCAGCTAGCCAGAGGTGCTAGCTATCTCTGCCTATTATGAATGTATTTTTACCCTTCCCTCCCACTCCTCCAGACCCCTGCAGTGGATCTCTGGGAAAAATGGCCTGTGTCTTTTTTTTTAGTAGCTTGAACAGTAATATAGCATGTGTCAGGGAATGGAAAACAAGGCTAAAAAATATGCAGCAAGAAGCAAAATGGTTGGAATGGATGGCTGAGCCAGAGGCTCGGCCTGAAGCTGCTACCAAGGAAGGAAGTGACTCTAATAGCCCGGCATCGTGCTCGCTCCCCCCCACCCCCACTCTGCTCCATCTTCTTTTGCTCCTTCTTTGTCTAAACAACAATTTCAACAAAGTCCTGACTTTATTTTATCTGGAAATACAACCAAATGTAGGTCACACTATAAAAGTATAAATACGCATGAACTTTCTAACATTTTAACAGACCGACTTAAAGCCATCCGTAATACTAAAGTCTAATCTGATAATGCATGGTTTTTATTTTTCATTTTTTTCTAATAAAGATCTTTTAGTGATAGTTTTATAGCCCTTGCTGTGTCTGAAGGTAATGTAACAGCAGTGGAAATACAGCTGCTTTGTAAAGGATTTATTATGGAATATTAGTGAACAAAAATGCTTCATGAAAACCAAGGAAGTCACCTGGCAGGTCAGGGAGAAATATGTGGAGAAGTTAAAGGCAAATTTAGGTCATAGAGAAACATTAAACTAACAAAACTGGGAAGCCGTGCATGAAGAAAAGATCACACCGAAACCTGGAGGAGCTGCAGAGATTCATTGTGTCCACAGGCCAACTTTTATATGTATATTTAACACAAAATTATTTGAAAGTGTGATAAGAAGAAAGCCATTGTTTAAAAAAAAGCCATAGAAAGTCCTGTTTATATATATATGCTGTTTGAAAAATATAGAGGATTCAGCAAGAAGGAGGTGCCCTGATGAGACTGAATATTTTGGTGAATCTGTGTGTTTGAATAAAAGCAAAGTTTTGCAGAGTCGCCCTGAACACAGCATTCCCACGGTGAAACATGGAGGTGGCAGCATCACGCTTGGAATACAGATAAAGCTTTATACAGGGCAATTGAGTTATGGGGGGGCGTGTTACTGAACTCTTCTTATATATATGATGAAATATTGCCTTTCGCACTTTGAGATATTAATTTAAAATAAAATATTTCTGCCGTTTTTCCAAAATGCTTGGTTTTACTGCAACGTCAGCTCCATTAAAGTCTACTGCAGAGGTTTGCAGCCTGCGGCTCTGCAGCCGTTAGTGTCCCTTTTCGATTCTCTACAACGGCTTTTTATAGTAGCAAAAATGTTAAACAACCAACTAATTGTTTAGAATATAGTATATTGGCTAATATCATTATTAGACGTTTAGACATACAACAGAATGACTTAAAAGTAACAGAATTATGTTTTGAGGTCTTTAGTTTTTGACATTAATTTGGAAACTTTTTTTTTTACATAAAGCCCATCCTTCCTCTTATTTCACCCTGTAAATCCTAAATCTTTCTTTTTGTTTTAAATTAATGTTGTCATTTGACATTCTGAAAAAAAAATAATTTGAAATTAATTGTGTCATTTGTGATACATTAGGGATTTCTCTAGTTTATTAAGGATTTTCTGTTCTCTACATTTGTCTGATTGGATAAATACATTTTTTCAAGAACACAAATAAACACAGTGATGATGTAAAGGTTTAAAAAACTCAAATATGGTGGTAAAAGCTTCAAAAAGTAAAAATGAAACAAAAAAGTCTGTTGTTAGATAAAATAGCAGAAGATTTCCTATGGCAGATCTTTAACAAAAATAAGAAGTGGTGTTTTATTTAAACATATTATATTTTCTGGCTCTTTGCATTTTAGAGAAACTGGTTCTTTGGCATAAGCTTTATGAAGCGGCTACAATAACTTTCACAGCTGTTTGTATTGAACCTTAATATAAGTGTCACCAATCGGGCAAATGTTGCCATAAACCGAGGTGATACAGTATTATGTTCCAGGCATTTAGCTAGCACTAGGGTGGAATCAATTAATCTGATTAATCGATTATTGATAACCGTCAACTAATTGACTAATCAATTTATCTATGACTGGAAAAATATAGACTCTAATACATGCCATTTGCAAAAAGATCAACCCACCCAGAGGCATAATTATTAAAAAAATAATAAAAAGAATATATAAAACTTTTCTATTTAAGATGAAGTTATCTTAAATATCCTTCCAGAACTCCTAAAGTTGCAGTTTTAGCTTCACCTGATCTAAATTTTCTGGATAAAAAAGTAATTAAGGAAGCTTTTCCTATCCGATCATTGATCGAATACTTAATCGATTAGCAAAATAGACATTAGTTAGCAGCCGTAGCTAGCACAACATCCAGTTAACATCATGATTTGAATAGTACACTGCAAAAACGACCTAGAAATTACCAAACATGTCTTAAATTAAGTGTACTTATCATTAATTTTAGTAGATTAGTAAGATAATTTGCCAATGGAAGTGTTTTTACTCTTAAAATAAGATAATCAGATAATATGCAATTGTTTTTTCTTATTTTAAATGTAAATTGTCTTGTTCCATTGGCAGAGTGTCTCATTTATCTCCTCAATTCAAGAAAAAAAATGCACCTATTGCAAGAAAAAAAATGACTTTTTTTTTATTTGCAGTGTATTAAGTGTGATTAGCTTAGCATTGCTGTCATCAGCAGCTTTCCTGTATGGAATTGCATGTTTAAGGATTACACACTTCTTTAATCCACTTTGGTACCGACCAAGGTTCTCAAAGCTGTCCGGACCAAAGTGCACAAAGAGACAAGTCCTGATGTGTTTAAAATTTCTGCTAAATGCTTACCTCTTTAGGTAATTAGATGACAAAAATAACATTTCTCTGAAGTTTCTAAAGCCCAGATGATGTTCTAGGAAAGCCTAAAGCCTCTGAAAAAATAAGAAAATTTTCATTTTTATTGATATAGCCCCTTAAAAGCACATTTCTTTGTTAGAATGGCCTAGTCAAAGTCCTTACCTTTGAACATCTGTACTGTTTGAACATCAGTTTGGTTTTGTGAGGAGGAATGTGGATAAATCTCCGTCTATTGACACATAGAAGGACATGCAGCTGTCTGGTAAAGGTGGTTGATTCTGGGGGGTAATAAAGGGCTTTCCATGCTTTTTTATTTATTTATATAAGTACATATTTGTTTTAACCTTTTCTTTCCAGTTTAGACTTCTTCACCATTGGTCAGTCTTCTGTCCCCCTGCTGCAGAAAATTAATTCACAGTTTACATTTCAACCCCACTACTCTGTAGTGTGAGCCTGTATGTACGGCTGATCTTTAACTTGCAGAGAAATTAGATAAAAGTTTATCTCATTTCATATTCTCCATTTTAAGATAAAAGCTTATTGTCCCTTGAATATTGAAGCTGGGTAAATAAGCATAGAGTTTGTTTTTTTCTTTGTAAATCTTCCTTCTCTTTCCATCTCTGTCTTTCCTTGCTTTAATAAAGTTTTTCTCCTCAGGGCGTAAAGACAGGAGGGACTGTTGGTGGCCAGGTCCGAATGCCCATGGTGATCACGCAGTCCATCAGACCGCAAGGTAAGAGCTCAGCCTTATTGCACATCACCGAGGCATTCAGGCGTCTCAGGATAAAAGAAAAAAAAAAACAGACTTTATTTGTGGGAAGATTTGTATACGTTTTAGTTTGAGATCCACTAAAATAGAATAAGCCAAAGCTTGCCATAAGTGGATCTGTAAATGTTCCCATGATGTGCTGGATGATGTGTAAACAGACAGGAGCAGCAGAGAGAACAGGTGTTTTTTTGTTGTTTTTCTGCTCTGTTATAGAGCCTCCACAAACATTTGTGCTGCTGCTTACTCACACTGATTCACAAACACTCTTCCCACAGAAGCCCAGCAAATATCGCCCCCAACACCGACCGAGTGGAACGCTCCCCTAAGAGAGCCCCGTGCTCTTGAGTGGAGCCTGCCTGCATGCGTGCGTGCGTGTGTGCGTACCTGCCTTTCTATGTAGGAATCGGAGGTGCATACAAATTTGATCTACCCCTCTTCTCAAAGATCGCCTGCAGTGAAAGATCTGTAGGTTGTTTATGCCCGTAAATTGGAATGCGGGGATAGATCTAAAAATACTCCTCTGCGCCTCTTGGCGAGGAACATGCCTGTTAAAATCAAGTTTAAATTCACTCTGGCAGTCCTTGTGCCTCTCCGGAACAAGAAAGAAAGGAAAAAAAAATAAAAAACCGTGTCTGGGAGCAGGATGCGGTTTAGGAGTGTAAGGAAAGCCGCTGAAGCGCAGCGATATTGACAGAGCGATGCCAGGTTGGTTCATCTACCCCCCCTCCTGACTCATGGGGCCTTGTGAGGAAGACGGGGACAGCTGAAGGTAGTCCTCAGTGTGATGCAGATAGAAGGGGACACTTCAATGATAACATTACTTTTCCCTGCTTTGTTTCTCTGTTCTCTCCTGTTCAGGAACAATGGGAAAGGGGGCCATCATACAAGCAGGCAAATGTCCCATGGTTCCTCCTGTTCAGATCGCCGGGAATCAGAAAAACAAGCTCAACGACCCCGGAGGAGGTTCTTTCAGGTACAGGAAGCTCTGTGTGTCATTCCCAGCCACCGCCACAGGGGGGCAGCATTTTATCAAGCTGCTTTCTCCATGACTACAGGCTACTCTCTCAGCTAAGGCTATGAGTGTTTATCCAAGCTGCCTGCCCAGCCACCTGGCTGCCTGCCTGGCCCGGCTGGATGATCGGTGGTCCTCTCTCTCTCTCTCTCTGTCTCAGTGCTCATCACATAGCAACACACTGCCAACCAATAGATCACCCTCGCACTCGTCCTCTTTGTGTCAGTGTCACAAGTCACTGGCAGGACTGCAAATGAGCTAAATCTTAATTTAGAAAAAAGATAATTGTGTCCAGATGGTTGGAAATTCTGGACGCTGTTCTGAAAATACCTTTTGGTTAAGTCAGACATGCGGTTTTATCCCTGCAGCCTGGCGCTCTCTCTCTCTTTCGCTCTCTGGTTTCCTCTCTGCTTCTAGTGGGCCTTTGTCTCCAAACATAAAAGGTTTCTCGCCCACATGCTGGCCTTTGTGGTTTGGGCTCTGCATGTTTTTTTATGCTTTTTTTTTGTATGTTTGTGCAGCATTTCTGTGCATGTTTGCATTGTTTACATCTTGTTTGTGCTCCCACTGGCCTCTCCAAGGTTGGCTCGGGATGACCTCGGAGTGACTGGGCCAACACAAGAAGAGTCTGGGTCACATGGGCCGACGGGTTCATGGTAATGGCCTCCGTCTCCTCAGGGGAAAGGCATTGCCCCTGGCTCTGATTGATAAACCAATAAATCTTTAGCTGCTTTGGTAATTAAGCTGTCAGGCTCGTTTGTTACTGACAACCTCCCCTCCCCCCCCCCGCGGCGATCATAGTGGCCCTCCACACGCGAACGCGCTGGTTTCGCTACAGTATGAACCCAATAACGCACACAAGGCGCTGCGGTTCCCAGAGGAAACACAACCTGACATCACAGCATATTGTCCTCTAATAAAGGTCAGGTCGTAAAACACGTCTTCAGAGCTGTCAAAAAAAACCTCTCCGATTTCACCTGTTTGGACAATTTATTTGATGCCACAATTTTATTTCACATTTAAACACATTTCAGCAACAGACAAGCACCTCAAATAAACAAAAAACAAACTTCTTCTGAAACATTATAAGCGATTTTTGTCACCCCTTTGGTGACAGCTACTATCATCCAGTGATTTAAGATTTTAGATTTTCTCTGACCTCCCTGTTTAAGGCCTCGCCACAGCCCCCCCCCCTGCAGATATAAGGTCCAGGCTTTGACCTCAAAGCCATTCAGAAGTGGACTTCCTGGTTTTCATTCAGTCGTCCTGCTTCAGAACCCAGAAGGACTCAAGCAGGAGATCAACAGCTACTGGACAAACTTTCTCTTTCAAAATTTTCTTCAAAAAAGCAAAGAAAACCCCAGAAGAACAACCCTCTCATTTGACTGATAGCATGATTTATCTTTTTCCTGAAGTGCAGCTAGTTTTTTTTCTTTTTCAGGTGAAAAAAAACTGCAAAAATGGACGTAAAACAAGTTAAAAAAAAATCTTAAAATACATGTATTAGCCCCTGATGGTGATGATGGGCTCTTTATTTCCACCAATTGCTGGAATCTCTAAGAGTTTCCCAACTGTTAAATATTAAGTACCTTGAAATCTGGTGTTACATTTCTTCATATTGTAATATGATGTTCTATCTATAAATGAATGAATCTAAATAAGTACATCCTGAAACAACTAGGGGGAGATTTTCAACACACAAGGCAGCAAAAAAGTCTTTAGTCAGTTTCCACACTTAGAAAAAGGATAAAGGTTTGTACTTTTCATCAAAGATTCACTTCAACTATGAGACAAAATGAGAAAAATAATTGAGATAATTGTGAATACATTAGCAAGTTATGGTTGAATAAAGTATTTTGTCATTAAAAACAGTCCAGATGTCTGGACCTCACTGACCTGTAACTTTTTCTGAGAGGCTCCTCTGTCTTCCACCCGTATCTGTATAAATACACCTGTCCACAGCCTCAAACAGTCAGATGCCAAACTCAACCTTGGCCAAAGAATTGTTGAAGGACACATGAAGGATACTTGTGGCCTGATCATGAGAACAATAAGAAAATACAGCAGAACTACATGGAGGGACCTGATGAATGACCTGCAGACAGCTGGAACTAAAGGAGCTAAGGCTACCATCAGTAACACGCTACGACCAGAGGGACTCGCATCCTGCAGGACCAGATGTGCCCCCTGCTTAAACCATTACATGTCCAGGTCTGTCTAAAGTTTGCCAGAGAGGAGATGAATCCAGAAGAGCATTGAGAGAACAGCATGTGGTCAAATTTAACCAAAATAAAACTTTTTGGCACAAACTCAACTCATGGTGCTTGGAGGAAGAGGAACGCTGAGCTGCTGTGAAGCATGGAGGTGGAAACATCATGCTTAGGGGCTGTTTTTCTGTAAAGAGGACAGACTGAATGATACACGTTGAGGGAAGAATGAACAGAGCCGTGAATGGTGAGAATTTAAGCTCAAACCTCTTTCATCAGTGAGAGGGTTGAAGATGGAGGGTGGCTGGGTCTTCCAGCAGGACAATGATCCCAAACATGTCAAGACATGTCAAGGTCCAGGAGCGGCCTAGCTGCTCACCAGACCACAACCCCATAGAATATTGGTGGTTGGAGTTGGAAGTCTTCGATGCTCGGCAACAGCCCCAAAACATCACTGGAACAGAACATCAGCTACAGTCTGAGGAAACCTGGAGAAGACTGACAGCACATGTCTGACCTCTGTCAATGGAAACAAAGCTTATACTACAGAGTATTGGGCTGAACTTTTGTTGACCGAGTACTTAGTTTCCTATGTCATTTTCTCATTTTGTCTATCATAGCTGAAGTGAAGATTTTTCCTCCCTCTGTAGCCCCAGTTTAGTTTAGTTTGAGTAACTGTTATTCCTCTCTGTTTTCTAATTATAATTTTTTTTTTGGTAACATTAAAAGTACTTTGATATGTTGATAAAGTATGACTAGAAGCACATTTGTCGAAGGTCAGACTTTTATTGAAAACACTGTAGGTTTCTCATTCTTTTATTTCTCAGTATATAGAAAAGTAGTTTTCTTTTAACAAACACGCTGAATTATTTTCTATATTTTTTAGCTGGCCAAAAGCTTTGTTGAGCTCTATTACCTGACAGATCACCATGTTTTCATCATTTGAGTCCTTTTCTATGCTTGTTTTGTAGCCGTGCAATTAAATATATACATATATATTTATTTTTTCTTTTCCAATTACATCGGGTTCCAACAATTATAGAAACACTCTAATGAGATGAAACAATTATTGGAGATGAAACAATTATTTGTCTGCAGTCAGTTTCACAGTGATGTGTTCTGTTTGTCCTGTGCTATAAATGTAATGCAGCAGTGTACCCCTTAGCTCAGCCCCAAAGTTTAGACGTCCGCTTTGCAAAAGTTGATCAATTCAAGCCGATATAATGGAGGTCTTTTTTTCTGCTTAGGATTAAATTTTTTTTAAAGGAAAAAAAAAACTCAGAACTGCTTAAATATTCTTCAGTATAGAAATCTTAAACTCAGTGAGACCGGATGGAGATGCTGTAGCCATCAGTTTTCAAGTCTTGCCCCAGATACTTATTCAGGCTTTTTCTAATACAAATCATGTGATATAAACCAGTCCATTTTAGCAGCTGAAGTATGTTTACATTTGTTGTCCTTTTCAACTCTCAAGTTTTCTGCAGTATTTAAGAATAAACACAGGACAC